ATCAGAATTCACTTTGAGCTCCAGCCACGTTCCTATCCTACAGATTGAGCCAAGGTGGTTTTCATTATGTCTTTTGGTAGAGAGAGAGCATTGACATGGGCTAATCCCCTCTGGGAGAATGACAACCTACTGGTATATAACTATGCCACGTTCGTTGAAGCATTTAGCCGTACTCTTGACCCACCCGGTAGAAAGGCCAATGCAGCCAGGTCTCTTCTTAGGCTTAAGCAAGGAACCAGAACCTTCGTGGAATATGCCCTTAAATTTAGATCTCTAGCATCTGAGGTTGCTTGGAACAATCAAGTTTTCGTTGATGTGTTCCTCAACGGTCTCTCAGATAATATTTTAGATGAAATAGCTACTAGAGATCTTCCAGAGAATTTAGAAGAAATTATAACTTTTATATCACGCATTGATGAGAGAATGAGATAAAGGCAGAACACCCCCAGATAAGTTCAAAAGAGTTCCTATTTGAATGGACCCTGTATTTAATAACCCTGACTCCATGGCACTTTCATCACCTAAACCTATGCAAGTGGGTGTAACTAGATTATGTGAGGCTGAACGACAATACAGACGAACGGAAGGACTGTGTCTGTATTACGGACAAAGGGGACATCTCTGCCTAAATTGCCCTAACAGACAGGTAAAACACCCGCACCTAGTCCATCTAGGAGACAGGCCTTAGGTGTCTCTTCTTCGTCCTCCAAAGCTAATCATAAAGATCATAGGCTTCTAGTTAACATCACCTTAACCAGGATTAACAAAAAGGTCAATACCATGGCTTTAATAGACTCTGGTGCCACAGAGAATTTTATAGATCAGAATTTTGCCAAAGAAAGTTCTCTCCCTTCCCGGCTAAGGGATACACCCTTGGCCGTTGAGGCGATAGATTGTAGACCACTCCAGGTACCCATTATTACTCATGTGTCCATTGTGTATTTCAACACATTACTTTTACTTTCCCAGTGGTGCTGGGGTTCCCCTGGTTAAGGAAACACAATCCATCTATTGACTGGGAGATTGGCGAGATTGTTTTTTTGGAGCCGCAATTGTCTTAAGGGATGTGTTGAATTACACCCCATTCACATTATCAATGTTCCTACTATGTCTCCCTTGTCCACGGAGATACTGGAACAATATATAACTGTGAAAAAAGTCTTTGATAAGGGTAAAGAGGAATTGTTGCCACCTCATAGGTCATATGATTGTGCCATTGACCTACTTACTGGAACCATGCCTCCTAGAGGCACTGTATACCCTCTCTCTGCTAAAGAAAATATGGCGTTAGAAGATTATAAGGAAAAACCTGAAAAAAAGGTTTTATTAGAAAAGCTGCCGGGGCAGGGTTTTTCTTTGTATCTATCCATAACCATACTAACTGACCACAAGAGTCTCTCCTATATTGGAGAGCCAACCATTTTGTCAGCTAGACAAGCTCATTGGTCCCTTTTCCTGGCTAGGTTTACCTACGTTCTGACCTAGAGACCTGGGTCAAAAAAACTCTAAAGCGGACGCTTTATCCATTCAGTTCAAACCTACGGCATACCCTGAGACCAACAAATCTTCTGTAGTTCCTTTGCAACATATCATTGCTAATACTTGAATAAGTATACAATCTCCTACAGTTTCTAGCATCATTGCTTAGCTCCGGAGAATATTCCTGAAGATAAATTGTATGTTCCCCTAGAACACCAGAGAGAGTTACTCCTTTGCTTTCATGATAATAAAATCGCAGGTCACTAAGGTATACGTAAAACTTACGTTTTCATTTCTAAAGAATATTGGTGGCCATCCTTGCGTAAAGATATCAAGGATTATATGTTAGCATGCTTTACCCAAATTGCCCTCTTCTAAGTTGGCTACTATCTTGCCAAAGAGGTGTTTCATATCCATGGTATACCTCAAGAAATAATCTCTGACAGGGGTTCTAAATTTGTGTCAATTCTGGAGAGCCTTCTGTTCCCAAATAGGGATTACACTCAAATTCTCATTGGCTTATCATCCTCAATCTAACGGTGCAGCAGAAAGGTGCATTCAAAGAATAGAACATTACTTACGTTGCTTTGAATCCGCTCATCAAGATGATTGGGTTGGCTTGCTTCCGTGGGCTGAGTTAACTCTTAACAATATCTCTGACGCAACTCAAAATAGCCCTTTCTTCTTAAACTATGGTTTTCATCCTGTAGTTCTTCCATCTGTATTTTCTTCACGGGGAATGCCGATGGTGGACGAAAACGTGGAATACCTAAAGAAGGCCTGGGAGCAGGCTCAACAGTTACTTTTACACAAATCAGCTCTTGATAAAAAGTATGCCGATAGGCTTAGACTTGCTGCTCCTGTCTTTTATCAGGGTGATTAGTAGTATTCCATGTATCCTTGTTGAAACCATTGACTTGTAATAGGTTCACCAACCATGTTGTACCTCCATCTTCTGTTCAGGTTGAAGGGGCAAAAGGAATATTAAATGCTTTCTCTTCTTGATATCCCGGGGTAAACTCCAGTATCTGGTGGATTGGAAGGGATATGGTCCGGTAAACAGGTCTTTGGTTGAAGGTTCTGATATACATCCTCCTTTGTTTCATTCCCCCTTTCCTACCTGTCCTGGTCATTTCCGCCCTGTGGGCGGTTTTCGAAGGCGGGGTCCTGTCAGGGTGCCATATGTGTTGGCACAGGCTATGCCACAAGCTGACACCATCCAGCAGGGAATTGGGGACATTGCCAGTAGCTAGTCTTGTTTCTAGCAGTTCTCGCGCTGCCCGTGATAGCCCTGCCGTTTTTTATGACATGACGCATACGCGCCGTCATGGCCCGCCAAAACTGTCAAATTCAACCATTTTGGAGGCGTGGCTATATATCAAGGAACACAGTACTTAAGGGGAGTTTAGGGAGAGTCTCATTGACCTATTGTTGTTCTGCATAGTCCCAATAGTGCATTTTCTACATATTGCTCTCTTGGATTTTGACTTCTGGCATAAATTGACTATTCTCCCTTCTGTATTCCTTTGACCTCGGCTCTTGTATTCTCGTTGTTCCTGATTTCTGACATCCCTGACCGTGGCTCGTTTATTATTACTCTCTGTCCTTGTAACGATAATCCAGCCATTCTAAGGTCCGGTATACGTTACTATTCCTTTACACTCTGCATGTAGAATTCCCTAATATTCCTTACACATACACCCATAGACACACACACTGACAAATACAGAAACACAAAAATGTCACAATCTTTTATGTTTCCAGCCACCCTCCTGTTAGCTTACCTTGTGTTCCAGCTGCTGCTTGAGGTGCCTTTTCAGAGAAAAGGCAGTGTATATATTACTACCTCGGAAAACCTCTAGTTGTGGTCACTCAGACAGCCACTAGAGGTGCTTCCACATCAGTGCTGCTGCACTGAAGTTCAGCGTCTCCATGTTCTGCATGGAGCCACTGAACGCTCCCCCATAGAGATGCATCCATTCAATGTATCTGGATGAGGAGGTGCTGAATGGTGTAATGCATTTGTCACACATGCTCAATAGCCTCCTGGCTGAGATAGTAGGGATTGGTGATCTCAGCCAAGGAGCAGATGCGACGGATCAACGCTGTGCTGGAATAAAGGTGAGTAAACTCACCTTTTACATTGGTTATAGGGGGCACAGAATGTGTTTTGACAGCTATAGTGTGAGATAACAGTTGCTTTAAAGGACCACTATAGTGCCAGGAAAACATACTCGTTTTCCTGGCACTATACTGCCCTGAGGGTGCCCCCACCCTCAGGGTCCCCCTCCTGCCCAGCTCTGAAAGGGGTAAAAACGTACCTTTTTCCAGCGCTGGGAGGGGAGCTCTCCTCCTCCGATCCTCCTTCTCTCCTCCCCGTCGGCTGAATGCACACGCGCGGCAAGAGCTGCGTGCGCATTCAGCCGGTCAATACTTTCCTATGGACACTGGCGGGCTCTCACTGTGAAAATCACAGTGAGAAGCACACAAGCGCCTGTCAATGAGACAGCCGCTAGAGGGAATGGGGAAGGCTTAACCCATTCATAAACATAGCAGTTTCTTTGAAACTGCTATGTTTATACAAAAATGGGTTAACCCTAACTGGACCAGGCACCCAGACCACTTCATTAAGCTGAAGTGGCCTGGGTGCCTAGAGTGGTCCTTTAAGTTATCTGCAGAAATGCAGCATGAAGTGTGAAACACAATGTCTGGCTGTGCTCATTTGGATGTGAAGCTGGGAAATCTGGGATGTAAGTTTATATGGCCACTAACCACTCAAAGTCCGCCTTGAGCTATGTGGATTACACAAAACACAGTATTATTTTCCCCATTAGCCTTGTGGGGAGTTTTATGGTGTTTGGCCTCACCACAGTCTGGTACCTAGCCATCTCTCTGCCCGAGCATTATTACCTGGCCCATCCCATTAACATACACTTCTAATCCATGAGACTGCCACGTGCCATTAGTTCATTATTTTAATGACAGGCAGACACCCAGCTCATTATGTCACGGTTCTCACACACACATTAGATTGCATTGCTCGGGATTTAGACTCCCTTCTCGACGTTTCTGTCTCCCACAATGCTCCTGTCCGTCGTGACGTACAGAGACTCGAGGGCGCCCTCTCGCGACGCCACTGCGGATAGAACACCACCTGCACGTGCCGGCAGCTCTAGCGCGCGCGGGAAGAAAAAAAAAAATAATAAAAAAATCAGACAGCACAGCTCGCGCCCTCCCCCCCTTCCCCTACAGCCCGTTAATGGCAGCCGTCCTAACGGGAGCCCCGTTTGGCTCATGCAAATGAGACAGGGCTGCTTTTTGCCCCTCCCCGCCAGTAAATTATTTTATACTTTATCCCTAGTAGCTGTTGGTTATTTCTTCTACAAAGTAAAGAGAAAAGAAACTAAAATCATATCCTGTTCCTCCCGCCACGTCATAACAGGGGGTGACGCATCGCCGCACCTGGTTGCATAACACGGCTCTTTCGCCATTAAAACATAGTTGGGAAAAAGGGGCGAGGAACCGCAGCTTCCGCTCGTGCACGAAACGAGTGACATCACCACCCGCATATCGCCGCCTTGTTATTGCTCACACTGCGCGGTGTGCGCGTCGCCTCCCTTTCCTCGGGCACGAGTACGTCTAACCGTCTCGCAGCAAGCTGAGCAGCCGTGCGTGTCCGCAGTGAACGTAGCGTCAGGTGGGAGGGGCAGAGAGGGAAAAAGCGCGTGCCACAGGTCCTGTGACGTAGTTGTGGCGCGTGACGGGCAAGCCCGAGAAAGCAGGAGCAGCAGCATCAGCAGCAAGAAAGCGGCGCGCGAGAAAAGGGGGGGAGGGGCGAATTGAAGAAGAAGAACACCCGACGGGTCACCGAGCGGATAGCCGTACACCCAGCGGGCAGTTCGCAGTGCTCCCTGTCAGCCCGCCTCCTGTCACCCTCCCCTGTGGCGTGTGTGGGCGTCTCCGGGTTGTAGCGTGTCCCGGATATTGTACAGGGGGCCCTCAGCCACCTCCTCCTCACCTCCCCTCTCCGCCCAGCTCACCCGAACACCCGCCCGGCACCGGCAGCACTAGACACAGCATCATGGCGCTGAAACGGATTCACAAGGTGAGCGGCGCCGCGCTATGACAGGCCGGGCTCTCAGTCAGGCAGGGACCCCCCCCATACACCGCCAGCACTGTGTGTCCCCCCGGGGGTCCGTCTCCCACACTGAGCCGCTACACCGGGGGGAGGGGGAATCACCGCCCGGCTCGCCTCCCAGGCAGCTCGATCCGCCGGTGACAGGCGGCTGGCGGTGGGTAGGCCCGGGCTGGGTGCGGGCGGCTGGCAGTGTGTGTGGGCTGAGCTGCTCGCCCTGCCCGCTCCCGCAGTGTAAGATGGCGGCCGTGTGTATGCGAGCAGCTCACAGACCGGGCCCAGCCTGCATCCTGTGTGCTCGGCCTGAGTCACCGCTCGGACACACGGAGTGTCAGCCATGGCCGGCCCTCACAGCCTGCCTCCCCTTTGTGTACTGACAGCTTGTCCCTAACATGGCCAATGGCCAGCTCCACTGCCGGGCTGTATCGGATAATGGGCCCGGGGCTAGTAACATGCTCTCTGTCACAGCGACCAGGGTCTGCCTCGACTGATAGCAGGCAAGGCCTGTGCCCTCCATGGAGGGAACTGGCACCTCCCGGCACCCTTTGTGCTGTATAGACTTGTGATCGTAGAATTACTTGCACTATGCATGTCTGAGAGCACCATTACTTAAGAATTTGCTGTATTTATATAATTAGATGGCCACTTTAAACATTGCTAAAAACCTGTTCACCGTGTGTTTGTAAGTGACGACATCTTCTGTAATGCCAATACCACCCATTACCTGAATGTATTGAAAGGAAATACTAGTAGGATCAGTGTATCTGCATATATTGAGTTGAGTCCAATGAATGGTTCAAACAAAGGAGGTAATCTTATAGTGTGTTGGTATTTCAGAGTGAAAAAATACTGATTAATAACATTACTTATGTAGTGTCAAGTTTTCTTTCCCCAAAGTATTTGGAAAAACTAGGTTTTTTGTTTTTGTTTTTTTAACATGGGCTGGGATTAGCTCAGGAGTGTGCCCAGTTATAAAAAAAAAAAAATAATTTTTTTTTTTAATTTACTTTGAAACTGTTCACACCATATGATTTATTTCCAAAACAATGAATTGCAAATGTAAAACCATATTTCAATGTAGATCATACAAAACACCTAACATTGCTGAGGTGCTCTGTGTTAATGGTTTCTCCTATTTTATAAATGTGATGTTTTTCAAAATGAGTTGGTACTTTCATGAATCTCTCTAGTTACACTTTACTCACTGTCAAGACAGGGGATATATATATATATATATATATATATATATATATATATATATATATATATATATACACACACTTCGCAGAGCATGATGACTACTGTGTATGTATGCTGTAGGAACACCATACTTACCTGAGAAGCTTTGGATTGGCCTAGGACAGGGGTAGACAACCTTCAGCACCACAGATGTTGTGGACTACATCTCCCTTTATGCTTTGCAAGCACTGTCTGTAAGCGTGTTATGGGAGATGTAGTACATATTTGGCGTTCCAAAGGTTGCCTACCCCTGGCTTAGGACATCGTTTCTAGTGATGATCTCCCAGGAGTTGTGTTGTAGCAAGAAGTCTTACTGCTGAAGGTAAGGACTTTAAATTTTATAATTCTGGAAGAAGGGCACAAAGTTTAAATTAAAGGAGCACTATAGTGCAGGAATACCAATGTGTATTAATGATACTAGTGTTAAACATTTTATGTTCACAGTCCCCATTCGCTCTTTAAAAAAAAGAAAAAGGTATTAAACTTCCCTTTATTCTATCGGAGGAGGGGCTCATCGACACTGACCCCGCACAACCTCCTTGGCTGAGATCATCAGAATTGACAATCTCACCCAATCCAATATTTTATTTTATTTTCTCCATATTGAAGAAATTAGGAGGCTATTGCACTCGTGCAGCAAAATGCTGCGATAATCGGCATCTCATCATAGAGATGCATTGAATGCATGGTGACTCTTTAAGTCAATGTTACACATTTAGAGGTGTCACTAGGCAGTAATGTAAACACTGCAATTTCTCTGAAAAGTCTGCCAGGCTATACTATACAGCCCAGAACAACTACATTAAGCTGTAGTTCTGGTGACTATAATGCTTTTAAATTAGGAACGCCCCCAAAGTTAAAATTGTTTTTTGTTTGTTTAATGCTAAAGTAAAAAGCTATGACAGCACAGTGTGTGTTTTAACAATAAATACTATTTTTAAGTTCACCAGCATATAGAAAACTGCATAGTTTAGGCTTAGTTATTCTGTGATTACCACTGGTGGTTATGATGGACACTGGTGGTAATATAAAAATCCACAGAACTATTTTGTTTTCCTGGTTGGAGCAAAATCTACTTTTGCTGTTATATGTGGAATATATAGTAAGCTGACCACTTCCTTGATGAACTTTTAATAGGGTATTAGAGGAGGTAAACTTTAAAAGTAACTGTGCAGGAGGTACCTGTTTACTGATTCAAGTTTTCCTGTCTGTTATTACTGTAGTTTTAACTTTGATAATGTAACCTGTATTTTTATACGGTGCTTAAAGGGACACTCCAGGCACCCAGACCACTTCTGCCCATTGGAGTGGTCTGGGTGCCAACTCCCACTAACCTTAACCCTGCAAGTGTAATTATTGCAGATTTTTTTATAAACTGCAATAATTACCTTGCCGGGTTAACTCCATCTCTAGTGGCTGTCTACTAGACAGCCAATAGAGGGCACTTCCTGGTTTCTAGCACACCGTCGCTGGACATCCTCACGCTGTGTGAGTATCTCCAGCGTCGCTCATTTCCCCATAGGAAAGCATTGAAATACATTTACAATGCTTTCCTATGGGGAGTGCTAGTGCGCATGCACGGCATTGCCGCGCATGCACATTAGGTCTTCCCGGCCGGTGGGCGAGATCAGTCTTGCCCATCGGCCGACGCAATGCGGAAGAGGAAGCAGCGACGTGGGACATCGTCCCTGCTTCAGGTAAGTCACTTAAGGGGTTTTTACCCCTTCAGCAACCGGGGATTGGGGGGTGGGAGGGAGAGGGGACCTGCAGTGCCAGGAAAACGGATTGTTTTCCTGGCACTGGAGTTTCCCTTTAACCTTGTAATGTGTTACTTCCTGGAATAAGTACCATCAGTGCCATAAGAATGAAAGGTGTATTTTAGCAATCATGTGCCGTAGAGGACCTTGAAATCAGCTAGTTGCACCGTCAAGGGACAGGTTCGGGTAAGTGAAAACTATCTTCCTCTGCCTCACATAGTGACTGCTCCACTTGTATTCCAGTGACAATCTGCGGTCTCTGCAAATTAAACAACGACCCCAGAAGGTGACAGAGCTGCTTTAATGTCAGCAGTTGATGCCATTAAAGTAACTCATGCTAATGTTGGGCTTCCCAGAGAGGTATGATTGCAAGAATATGACATGGCTGTACACTTATTCACTTAAGTTATTCTACACAAAACCAAAGTTATTTGTCTTAATTGCAGTGTCAGTCACACAGTGGATTATGCTTTAATACACTGTGTGAGCCACTATAGAATTTAAAAACATCTGCCGGTCGAAAAATGTAGATCACATAACTTACATACTGTTTTAGTGCTTTTTTGAATTTTTATTTTTTTTATTTTTAAGCCTCATAAGACTGAAAGTTCTCTCCCTCTAAGGTTATTTTCAGTTTATCTGCATAATTTTCCCATAATGTAGTAAAACGAATAGCGGCTGGTGTCTACTTTGTTTATCCCTTTAAGGTTAAAATAAACATTCACCTGACTCTAGGGAGTGTGTAGGGTTGAAAATGTAAATATCTGCCAAGGTTGCTTATACTTTTATTTTATTTTTTTGCCTGTACATAACACAAAGATCTAGATAAGTCCAGTTAAAGGGGATTATTTCAGAAATACAGATCAGCTATTCATTTTTGTCTCTGAAGATTAACATGTTACACAAAGTACCATAACACTTTAGCACTGCCTACTCCAAGAGTGGCTTTAACTGCAGTGAATTATAAAGTCCCCTAGAGTTGTCAGTGAGCAAACCTGAATTCAATATTTTGGACTATCTATATCCATTATGTCAACGTAATGCATGTAAATTTCAAAGATTCGACTCGATAGTCAGTGACCTTTGTCTTGTGTGCCAGTTATTGGCAAAATGTGGCATTGGACATATCCTGCCATTTCCAATCAGCCATTGGTCGTGATGACTGATGTGCTACAGGTATAGTGGCTCTTGGCAGAGATCTCTTTAGTTGCGTGCCGTAGAGTAAGTTGCATCCCCAGCACACATGACATTGGTAGCCGAGAACTGCATAAATTACATCTGTTGTCAGCGTGCACTGCACACTGGCCAGACATAGAAATCTTCCATTTACAGACAGTGTGCATGCACTCTGAGATTGAAAATTGGTCCAATCTCTGAGCAGTCTGTGACTGGTGCACGTGAGTGAGTGATGTCACGTTGGGGTGTGGACAAGTTGCACTGGGAGGCTCTCCCAATTGATGTATTTTATTTTTTTTCAAATACCAGACAACACAAAAAATGTAACTGACATACAAGCGTCTCATGGCCAGTATCTCTACTCTGTAAGTTTTTAACAATATTAGAATATCAAAACTAAACCAGAATGTAATTAAATACAAGTATATATCTTAACCCACTGCCATATATATCTCTATCACAAGCTGAAATTCTGAAACATTCAGTGCATTAAAAAAAAAAAAAAAAAGTTGTCTCCTCTACCAAATTTAAAAAAGGGGGGCTGAAAACTAAACATTACATGTCTTAAGGATGGTGTTTAATTTATTTAAATTAAGGTAGCAAATTGTGTACCAGTTTTTACGTTGTGCACAAATATGAATAGTCTTTCAGTTCCTATAATTTTACTTTCATCGTAGAGGTGTCTACACACATTTGTGGTATCAATTCCTATTGTAGTCCATGTGATAACCTCAGACTTGAAGCTTTGTCCTCATGGCTTCTTATTTTTGGCTTTATCTGCCTGAAGTTGTTTCACTGTTGAACTCTTGTGAATATGAAAGAGTAGGAAATGGGG